TGCCTTTGGGTTAAGGGGGAGTATGGGTTAATAAGTCTAGTTTCTAGGCATTTTTCCTATTTTGGTGGCCTTTCAAAGAAGAATTCATGGGTTAAGAGGGGTTATGGGCTAAGAGGGAGATGACTGTATGGATAATGGAGACAATCTGATGAAATTTTAACCGGAGAGGTAGAGAAATTTCTTTGAAGAGAAAAATTTTTTGGGCAACAAAAAGTGACTTTTTGTTGGAAAGACTCAAGGGTCGGAAAAAGAGGGTAAGAGCCAATGTGTTTTTTTTTACTTAGAGGAGACTACGCGTTAAATAGTCTACATACAAGAGGTCAAACATGTGGTTGAGAAAAATGAATATCAAAATGAATAAAACAGATAAACATATGCTTGAAAAGATGTCTGGAATAAGTGTAAGTTGATAAAGACTAGACCAGGGTTCAAAGACTACAAGGATTGCAGCACTAGACAACATAACAAAATATCACGCAGAAACTATCAAAAACAAAGTAAAAATCATGTAAATTATTTATGAAATCATGTTGAATTTAACAGTGGGATAGATGAGTTTTTTTTTTTTGGGATGAGAAGAAAAAGAGATGAAATTCCAACACAATCAACAAAAATTCAAGATATTGGTTCAAATCCTTCCATTCTTGATTAAGGGTCTTTTTCTTCCCTCATGTTTCTCAGCCAACCATATGTCTTGTTTGGATTGATTTTTCAATAGCTTGATCAACCAATGCAGCCAATTACTCTTCAATGATACTTCCAGTGTATCTATTTTGTTTCCTCCCTTCAGTGGCTATTGGTTTTTCAAAAGAGATTTCAAGCATCCATGTGTCAAAAAAATGTTAAAATGAAAGCCAGATGGGGGTAATAAGTGGTTATGTAGCCTGTAGTTGACAAATTCTATAGATACTCAATCTCTTAATCAAGTGGGCTGAAGTGAGCTTGTTGCAAGAGTTAGGATAAGGTTAAGTGCCACCTCTGGAAGAGTTGTAGGAAGACCTGATGACTTTTCTTTTATAAGTATCTATAGAATATAAAAAATCTAAATACAAGTTGTTCAAGTCTTGGGAGCACAAATTCAAGGACAAAATGAATGACAAACAAAGAATGAATTGAAACACAGGTGACATTAAATGAAACATCAGAGCAAGTGTAATTCCAACAAAAACCACAAAATTGATAGCAGATAACAATATATTTAAGTATGGTTTGCCATCTGGAGATACTGTTATAAACCCTTCTAGTTGAATATGCAGGCTAATCATTGAACAGATCCAATCAAATCATGGTGATAGTTCTCTATGGCCCATGCCAAGCAAATTTGGTCAAGGGGGTGAGGTTGAACCACTTCATACGGTTTAGATTGGTAACCAATGCATGTTCTTTGAAAACATTGCCAAGGCCCCATTCAGATGACCATTCTTACATCATGATTCTGCACTTCATTTTGCCCAGGTAGCCCTAATATACATTAGTTGTCTGAAAACAATTTTAGTGGGAAAGGTGCACTGAGTCTGCAACCAATATGGTATCTGCAATATATTGGCATGTATCAGTGTACTGAATGAAATTTTGCTGATCTAGGTGATTTTTTTCACTGGGTTGATTATTATGTGGGGTTTGACCTAACTTATGACAAGTCCCTTGCCTGTATTACATTAAGATCTTGGCTGGGACAGGAAACATGAATGGCTGGAGTTGATTTTGTTCAACTTCTCACTCCTTGTTCCAATGATCCACAACCCTGTCCCCAAGCCAGATGAATATTTTGTGGGTGAGCTTTCATTTGAATGTGGTCTCATCCACTTATTTGTAATGGTTCTCTCCATAAATGTTTGAAAATAACAAAAAAGCATTCTCCTTCAAAACTCACAAAACAGATCCACCAAGATTGGCAAGGCAATCTGCCAAAGATTTTCTAGCCCACCACCTTGCAGATTCAACAAGCAAGGTTTTGGCTATGAGTTGCACTCTCAGCACCCTTGACAAATGAGAGCCTCAGCAAATTTAGACAATACAATTTCAGATTTGGCAAATCTTTGGAAGCTCTCTCAGATCAGGAATCTCCAAGCAAAGTTTGATAATTCTTGATTCCCACCTCGCTTCAATGGCATTTCTTCAGTCATTTTGGGTTGTTCCCCTTCAAATGTGTGACC